ACGGCTCTCTGGTGAGAGCGTAGGGGAAGCACCAGGAGACACTCCAAGTGCATGACTGTGAAGCAGGGGTATTTACAGCAGCCTGAAATTGTTGCAGGATGATTTCTAAAATGTTACTGCTAAATAGTCTAAGTCACGCTTGGACCTTTCTCATAAAACTCCTCCTTTGAAGTAGACGAAACTTGTGACCGATTCAGTATTAGAGGGATTATCTCCAAGAAAATAATTGTTCACAGTAACTATTATTACAAAAGAATTTATCATTGTAACAATATTAAATCTCTCAAAAATATATCAGCTGTGGTTTTGACAAATCTGAACCACAAGCAGCGAGTCACTGAAACTGCTCATCAAAATCTCAGGGCGAAGAGTTCACTCTCTTAATGTATTTCAATCACCTTTTTCCAAGCAGTTTACTGAACTGGGGCTGGACATATCCTAAAACCCACAGTGTTTTTTATTATCTACTTGCCTGTGCCAAGTATACTGCTGAGGTTAAGAGTAATTTATATGAGGTGATGATCTGCTGTAAGTTCATTTACAAAAAATTCTTTGGCATATTTAAATAGTCTTCAGCTAGACCCCACCTCAGAAAAGTGCTGAGCATGTACACAAGGTGAAACAGGAATTCAAAATTATTTTAAGCCAGCAAATAACTTGATGCAAGATAAGCAGTCAGCATGTGAAAGTGGTGTGAATTTCAAACGTTCATTTCAGATTCTGATTGCTGCTCTTCTTGGAGTTTTCCTGGCTCCAGCTCTTGCTGACTGGGTAAGTATACAGCTACATGTTGCCCTAAGAACTAGTGGTCTTTAGGCTCTGAAAAATAAGTTTGTGAAAATAAAGCTGTATTTTAAAGTCTGATACTTAGCAGGAAACTGCATTTTTTTAATATCTAAGACAGTATTTCAGTGCTTGCTATATCAAGGGGAAAAGTGCTTGCTATGACAGCAACAAAATCTGTCTTGAAATTAGCATGAACACTGTGAAAATAACTGTGTGGAGAGAAATAATATTAGCATGAAGGATCTCACCCCAAAATACAGTGAAATACTGAAAATAACCCTCTGTCTGCAAGTTCCTGCCGGGGAAAGAGCAATAAGGAATTATTTTAATTTTCCTAGAAACTTTTCTTGCAAGTTTGACTCTGAACATCCAGTTTAATGTTTAACTTTAAAGGAAATTTTCCAGTGTTCAAATGAAACAGTCACTTCTTTTCCACCGGGTCTAAGAGGTGTTCTGTAAGGGAGGGGAATAGAGCAGCAATGTTAGAGCTCGTCTGTCTTTGTAAGGGGGACACATCAGACACAGGAAAACCAGGGCGAGACAAAGCCTGAATGTAAGGTTTGACACAACGGTACTAACGGCTTCCCAGCCTCCCCTCCAAGGCCCGAAATTCTCTCCCCTTCAATCCAAACTCTAAGAGCAATTATTTCCCAAAACGCATTTACTAGAGCTACTGTTTTATTGAGTGAAAGACTGCTGGCAATCCACAAACCTAAACTCTTACTTCCTTTAATCTTTTTAAAAAATCAGAATAGCAAGGAAAACCTCGAGGGGTACCACGGTGAAAACTCACACCACTCCGACTCTGGGGAGGACTCTGGGAGCAGCAGCTCAGAGGAGCACTCTGAGGGCTGGGTATCCGCATGGGACAGCAAGACTGTGAGTAGCTGCCACCGTGACTCGCAAAAAAAGAAAAATAACCAAAAGGGTTTTGAAAAACACCTAAGCTTCAAAAAACTTTACAGGTTTTCAGAGAAGATGCTTAAAAATGTTCTCATTTAACCATTTTATTGTTTCTGCTGTACTGCCTGCATCACTGATATTTTCAGCAGTGAATTCCTTCACCCGACTTAAGCGGTGTAACACATCATACACGTGGCATTACTGGAGAACACAATTTACCTTTCACCGAAGTCCCTTGTCAGCCTCCACAACCCATTTACCAAGACGCTGTAACTGAACAAACAGTATTTACCTTCCCTGTGATTATTTCTACTGTATAAAGCCTTTTTTTTTTTCCCAACCAGTGCTTCTCTCTGGCAATCTGCTTCTCTTTCACATTGTTTGCAACAAAAAGCATTTTTTTATTTTAACAGGGCTACGTTGCAACCAAGGTACTTTCAAAAAACACCTGCGTCATTGCTAAACTGGACAACAGATTTCCGCTTGATGGACCGTATGCTGCAAACTTTGAAGGGCACAAGGTAGGATGGGGAATGAAAGTGGTGAGAAAGCTCATCAGCTACCCAGGAAAAGTACTTGTTCC